ATCTAATAATCTAATAAAATGTTAAACTTTCTTTCTGATATCCTAAGTACTTAACGTACAGACCCTTTTTGAGGCCCTTAATTGATTGTGATTGCTTAATGTCATTGTTCATACTGTTCCATAATTTAATGGCTCTAACAGTAAAAGTTCTACCACCCTCGGTCTGTCGATGAAAGAGGGGGCACCTAAAATTATATTTCTTAAAACGAGTATTTCTATTATGTATATCAGCGTTCGTAAGAAGGTTTTCATTCATATATTCAGGGGTCTGTCCATTAATTCTCTTATGCATAATGGATAATGGAGGGAGAGTAACATTGGGTTGGTAAATTTTCTTCATTCATGATCAACAACATTATCATCACCATGTATCACCATCATGCATCATCACCATCATGTATCATCATCATGTCTCATTATCATATATCATCATCATGTACCATCATCATGTATCATCATGTATCATCATCATGTATCATCATTGTGTATCATCATCATGTATCATCATCGTGTATCATCATCATGTATCATCATCATGTATCATCATCATGTATCATCATCATGTCTCATATATCATTATCATGTATCATCATCATGCATCACATATCATGAATTATCATGTCATCATTATATATCATCACCATAATTATATCATCACCATCATGTATCATCATGTATCATCATGTATCATCATCAACAACAGTTTTAAATCTTTTTTTAGGTACGTATCAAAGAAGGGATTCCCCTTCTTCTCGATCACTGTAACATTGATGATCACAACCCTTGTATCCTTTAGTTATGTAAGATCAATACTTTATTTTTAACCTATCTACCCTTTCTTTTTACCTGTATGAGTGATGATCCTTAACTTGCTTCAGACATCTGTCAGTGGGCTGTCTTTGCCATTCGAAATCTTCTAGAAAACAACATTGAAAATCAGAAAATAGTAGCCGAACTTGAAAAACAGGGACTCTCTGAAAATAGCAAGCTACATCAGTTTGGCGTAGATATCAAAGAAACGGAACACGGAGGAATAAAAATTGTACAGAAGTCAAAGAGTTGAAGTTCAAACTTTGTCTGCCTGTCCGTGTGTCTGTCTGTATCTGCACCTGTTTAGCTGTCTGTCCACCGTTCGCGGGCCGTCTTTCTATCTGTCAATATGTCTGTCGGTCCGTCTGTCTGCATGTCTATACATTTCGTCTGCCTTTCTATTCGTCTGTCTGTTCGTACTTCTGACTGCCTGTCACTCCGTTAACGTCTTTCTGTCTGCTTGTCCAAGTATCATAGCGTCTTGCTAAAATGTTGCTTTAATTTATTTCGACATTTTGTATTCTTCAGTTATCAATGCTAAAACCATGTACAGTAATAAATAAATACCAAAGGAACGCTAGTTATAATAAACGACTGAAAAGATTGGAATAGTGTATAATCGTCTACCGATATCAGCGCGCGCTGCACTCAACTTCCAGTCCTTCTATATAGGCCACTTATTATTTAGGCCTTGAAGTTTTAAGTGTTTGAAATTATCGTTAAAAAGATTCTCAAGTGACTTCAAGACGCATATTATGCGATTTTTCAAATATCAATCAAAAGTGTTCAAGCTTTAGTTGAGATGGAAATTGTAATTCGCTTAGCTTCTCCCCTAACCTCTGCATGGTCTCGTCTTTCTATTAAACTATATTCCGACTTTAGAATAAACACAAGTCAACCTCTTGCTGAAGTCTAATGAATGCAATCGTAAAAATCACGAATTTCAAGAGTCAGTTTGTTTTGCTTTGCCTTTTTAAACAAAAATTATGCATCTAATCTGCATATGCTATTCAATGGTTTAAGAATAGAGAGAACGACAGACCAGATGGCCGTCACTCTCGACCCAGCTATTTCGTATCATTACTTTTCGGCCCGCATACACTTTGTCTGGGATAATATTTTAGAAAATATATCATTCACTTTAATACTCAGAAAAACCTACGTTGTGTTCATACTAAAACCTTTTTTAAACCAACATTAATAGTGACATCGTCTTACAAGAATGTTTTTTGCATTTTCCCTACTTTGGTTTTTCGTTACCCTGAAGAGAATCGAGAGTTTGGGTAAGTTGATATTTAAACCTATAGTTTTTTTCAGTCTTATTTTTATGTGTAGTCTTGTCGGCTTGTGAAAAACAGCAAAAATTCAAACAAACTTCATCCCTATATTATTACTTTCTGGTTCATTTAGTTACTATCGAGTTCGCGTAAGTTGACATTTAAACCTACAGTGTTTTTCCCCAGATTTATTTATATGTTTAGTCTTGTTGGCTTCTGAAAAACAGCAAAAATTCAAACAAACTTCATCCCTAGATTCTTACTTTCTAGTTCATTTTCTTACAATCGATATTTTTCGAAAAGCTCTATTTATTCATCAAAACGAAAACGTTCTATTTATTAATCATTTTCACTTTCTTGAGCCAAGCTACATTGATAGCAATCATTTAACCTTAAGGGTTTTTTTCCTTTTTAGTCCTAATAAGTAGTCATCCTTCTTCTCGAGTAACAATATATTCAGTGTACAAAATTATATTACTAATGACTGACCTAGAATACCTTTTTTAATAACCTTGAAATGGCTTTTATCATTCGAGTGACTTTATCCCTTTAATTTAAAGAATATAAACCTAGAAATATGGCTTGAAAAAAACGAGAAATCACTATGATAATTCGGAATCTAACAAAAGGAAAAAATAGAAAATCTGTGTCCTCGCCTGAACGACATAATATTGTGCGAGAAATGCTGGTTTTTTGGTTCGAAAACTGGATAAAGCGACTAAAAATAGCGAGATAAAAGGTTTGAAAAACATTTTTTTGTGACTTTAGTTTATCAAATGCGAATATAAAAATCCCCATTTGACATGATTTATCACTAAAATTCATCTTGGTGTTAAAAATCTGGCTCTAAGTAAAAGTGTTTTTTTAAGTTGAGAGATTGCAAGTTCGTAATGGGTTTTAATGATAACCATCACGTCAGTGACAAGAACTTTTTATTTCGTAAGACAAGGCCCGGTGATGTGTATCTATTCTAGGATTAGAAAACCGCTATTACTTCGTCGGCAAAAAATAAAGACAAAAAGTTTACTCTTTCTTAAAGACTAAAGATTAAGACGTCAAAAAGTTGAATATATAATTCAAAATAGCGCCAAAAGTGCAACCGAAAACCTGTTACAAAACTCAAATAGAATTGGGCAGAATAGATAAATTTATTTTCATACAAACGTTATTTTTTAATTTTGTTTAAATTTTCTAAGCATTACTTGAATTACGCTTTGGATTGGAATAAATTTTGGCAACAACTCGTGCACCTGTTTTGAAAGTAAAGAAGTACTCGTTTTCGACTCCAATGTAAAGAAAAGTGCAAACTTGATTGATTGAAAACTTCAGAAGTCAAATCTAGGATGTTGTTTTTTTTGTCCTATTATTTACATTGTTCTTTTTTCTAGTCATTTCAAATTCTAAAAAATTCACCTTGCTTCAGCTGACTTTAACATAGTCGACTGTTTCACGTTAATAACCCGTTAATATACCTTCAATTTTGAATATATGTATGAGAAAAATTTTAGGCCCTTTTTCGTTTGTGTATTTATCATTTTAACCAATTTTGAGATGAAAATATGTCTTATCACATGCCTTGATTCAAGAAAGAAATTTTGAAAACAAAGGTTCTTGTCCTTGTGTTTGATGAGACCGTAGCAACCGAATTTGCGCTCTTCATATGAGCAGTTGTTTTGTTTCTTTCCGCCGCCCGTGGAATATGCTTTTTTCACTCTCTTTTTTTAATTTAAAGTTTAAATTGAAAAAGCTAAATAAATACGAGGGTTAAGTTTATGTGCCTAGACGTCAGTATAAAATAAGCGTATGAAGGCGTGTTTTGTTAGTCGTTGACACCGGTATTAAAATCCCGTTAACTCGGGGTTTTTCCGAAATGAAAAACATTTAAAATATTTTCAAACTTTTGTCAGTTTTATTCATCTTTAAATTTGTCTTACCTACGGAATTTTTTTCTGCAGTTGTTTATGTAAGATATTCCCTACATTAAGCGCATTAGATCATATATTTTAATGAATTTTTGCGCTATATAAGTAATAAAATTATTATTATTATTATTGGCATTCGTAGACAATAGGTTCCTTATCTTTTGTATCTCATAGTTCTTTACACTCGTAACTTTATTCATTTATCTTAGCTGTATCTTCTCCTTATGTCGGAGTTGGTTGCTATGCTGACAAGAGCAACACTTCACACCCTCTTCCTGAATTACTCGAGAATTTTTACTTTTCAATGACATGGAACACTATCGAGGAGGTCATTGAAAACTGCTCGCGACTGGCTCAAAGCAGAGGACATAGGTAAATAGATCAGTATTCACTAAAGACTGGCTTCAACGTAACCCTTTTACATCTGCACTTCACATCTACCCGCACAAACCACTTGATTCGATGGATTTTCGTTTCGTTTTCATACTTGTAGGTATTTTGGTCTTCAACATTATGGCGAGTGTTGGTCGGGAAAGGATTCCGAGGTAACATATGCTCGCGATGGCTCGAGTGAGAATTGCGTGAAAGGAGTAGGGAAAGATGGAGCGAATTACGTCTATAAATTTGTCAACAGCCTTGATCAAAGTAAGTATACATCATATCAGAAATTAAATTAAAGAAGTTTTCCCTTTTTTAAATAGTTGTATCCTTGGCTTGTACGTGACGTCATAGCCGCCATGTTGGTTAAATCATAACCTTTAAACTTTGCATTAAAGTTAACATTACAGTGTATCAATTAATGTTCGTTACAGGTTGTGATCTGGGTTGGCACACAGCAAACGACATGTGTTTTCACATCAGTTTCAACACGTCCTTCAACAGCCAAGTACAAGCCGCCCAATACTGCACGAACTACCGTGGAACCTTTTATCTTACCAAGTCTGGTGGTGACTTCGTCCAAGATCGCCTCATTAAAACACTACACCTAAATGATTATCTCAACACAACTAACTGCTTGGTCCTAAGCCAGGCCAGTGTACCATACGTGGGAGTTTTGCCCACTTGGAATGAATCACGTGATCCTCATCTTGCAGGGGGTCTCACAGGCAGCAGTCTGGGTACTAATTATGAGTGTGCAGTTAAAGATGTATATGGAAAGTGGTATCATCATCAATGTGAATTGCAAAAGTGTAAAGTCGTATGTAGCAAGCAACGAGGTTAGGTCCTTGTGTATTATTTTTTTGTTTACCAGGAATGGCACAGTAAAAATTATTTAGGATTCCCAATCTTATTAATTCCAGATCTTCCCGCAACACAAGGCTCCTTCAGTATGGTCCATAAAGACACCACCTTCAACAACAGCATTCTGATGTGGCAACTGGTAGATGACGTCACTCAGTGTGCACGTGAATGTCTCGTGACGGACACGTGTGCTTCATTTAAATATGAGTACAAATCACGTGTAGAACGAGTGGGTTCCCTGTGTGCTTTGAGTGATCGGAGGATTTCTGATTCGGATTTACTTCAATCAGATGTCTATAACTATTACGAACGGCTTAGATAAATCAAAACAGCGAACGAGGTATTTTTGCACCGCCATATTGGAATAGACAACTGAAAATACCTTTGTTAGAGTACGCCATCACTGATGTCAATAATCAGTGATATTCAACCCAGATGTCGGCAGTTCATTCGCGTTCATTCAAGCTTATTGTTACTGCACATGCTCAGGGAAATAATCTCTTATTGAACATGCGCAGTAAGAACGGCAAAGTCTTTGAGTTGATAGTGAGCAGTAGTTTCGAGTCAAGCAATTTTTTGAGGCTATAGAGGCTTTGCACCATTACGTGATGGCAGCCATGACAGGAGACACGAACAATTGAATCTGGTCGAATCTGATTTTCATGAGAAAGAATTCAGCTTCCCAGGGGAGAACAACTCTATTGTTGTACCTCCTTTCATAGCCGCCATCACGTGATGGTGCAAAGCCTCTATTTTTTTGTAGTTGTTCGGCAAGCGACTCAGTGCACAACCGTACCCAAGAAACAATAAATTTTAAATGTGGCCGCCATGATATAAAATAAGCAGGAAAAATCAATAGAACTGGGCTCTTTTTCTTTTAACCATCAAAACCATCCGCTCTACACCTGTAATAATATAAATAATATTTTTTAATGTCTCAAAAAACCCACGCATGCGCACGAAGGCTTCAAGACGATTTTGAGCCCACGTTGCTAGTTGTAACTCAGCGGCACTCAACAGGGTTTTTTTTTTTCACAAAAATTATAGGACTAAAAATGTTTAAACTTCTAACTTGACTTGTATAAACTGTATAAAATAATTTAACTACTATTTATGAATAGTTTTTTGTAAATTAATATAATGCGCCGCAAGTCCAATGTTATAAGAATCTCTCAAAATTTCAAAACTTAAAGCATTCAAATTTAGAGTCGAATGTTTTAAAACAGATTTTAAAGTTGTATAAGTTTATCTTGGTTGATAAATTTAATTAATTCTTAATTTTGGCAACTATTCTCAAATACAGTCCCATTCACGCATCTGTATCGCCATGTTGAGAGGTGCTCTTTATCACCACCTTCAAATATACCCTAGTGTGAGAGAAAGATCCCTGCGTAGGATATGTACAAAAATAGCCCTCAATTCTTTATCTTTAAACAAAAAAGGTCAAAAATATATTGCATTTAAATATTTCATGTTTTTGCTATCCGTGCAAGGTATTTATTATTTAAAGGCAAATTTCAAGCCATTGTAACCAAAAACACTTTAATTCGATGATTTTTGAAAACATTTTAAATGTAAAATTAAACCGAAATCTGCAGAAGTGTAAACTTTTCTGTGGGCGATATTTCAGTGGATAACTCAAATTGAGGAATTTTTGATCTTATATGATAAATTTAAAGTATCAAGAGCGCTGCTCTCAACTGATCATACACGAACTGTGTGGTTTCGGTTTTACTGTAGGGTTTGCAATGGAAGCATTTTAGTCTAAATAAAATAAGTTTAGTTCTCTCAAGTTCCCTGTGTATTCATTTTTATATGAGGTTGGGATTTGCTGCTAGCAGAGTCTCTCTTCTCTTTCTCTCCCTTCCTCTCAACCAAAACAAAAGGAAAATAGACTCTGCTAGTAAGGAAAGGTTGGGATTGATGTGGCATTGAAAAAAATGTTATTGTCAACTAAAATAAATATGATAGAATAACATTATAGAGCAGTTTTTTGTGTGTGATAAGCGATAAAACTTCGGATAAGAAGGACACTCGCGAATGTGCCCAAAAAAAACGAACATTTCAGTGTTACTCAATTCTTTGGCTTGAATCAAATTGATATACCCACATGCTTTCTGAAGGTTTTGCGATTTTTTCCATTCAAAAAGAAGAAAAGTACATTAAAAAATCAGTCAACTTTGGCTGAAAGCTAATTATATATTCCACTTGTTTGTGTTCTGTGACGGATCGGAGTAGTTTTCCTCACAGAGACCCCACCGATACACCGTTTTACAACGTGTACTACTCTGGCTCACTAATTACTTGAAGCTGTTTTTAACAAAGATAAATGCTCCCTTTAAACATTCCAGAGAACTAAACCGAGAAGACTCAAATTCATTATAAAACACCACAGTTCTGGTATATATTTTTATGGGCGTTAACGGCCAAATATGCTAGCTCCTAGAAAGTTTGCTTATTTTCTTTATTTTGCCTATTACATATTTTATGTTCTCTGTCAAAAAAAAAAGATGTAAATCATTCTTTTGCACCTATAATTTTACCTATAATTTGCACCAAGTATTTTAATAGAGTGAAGTCATTAAACCCGTGAAATAGATATTAGACTAATACACTTTAGTAGACCCTAATTTCATTGTTTTCTTTTGTGTCTTTTTGACTATTTATACATGTTGACTAGTATTTTTTTATTTGCCTTCGCTCTATATATTGTAGAAATTGGTACAAACTCTATTTTAAAAGAGAAAAATGGGAAGACTTTCTTATTTAAAAAACTGAAGTCACCCCCTTCTAACACAATTCTCCAATTCAAGTTAGGTTAAAACCCTTCCATAGATAAAACACATTTTGTATTTGCGGTTTCCAAGTACTGTTAAAAACAGCAATCTTAGCCTCTCAGTTTTCGTTTTTGCCTGATTAAAGTTTCATTAGACTTATCAGCCAACAACTACCTATCAGGAGGTAACGGAATATCTGTTGATAGCTGCGTCAGATAGCTGTAAAACTAGGTTATTTTACCTCGAAAGTCAGTACTTYATCAGCCAATGAGCGAATTGTTTATTCTTTGGTCGATCATTTTAAGCAAAAAAGCGTTAAAACAATAATAAATAATAAAGAAATAAGACTGCTTTGAGAAAAGATTCAAACAGCATTTTCTTCATTGTGGGCCGAAAATATTTACTCTGCGAGCAGAAGTTATTTTTCCTTCCTTCCATAGGGCGCTGAGCTTTATGATGGTCAGGGAAACCTAAAGCCAGAACGAAGGGAAGAAAAAGACCTCTGCAAGAAGGTTAAAAATCTTTATGTTAAGGTAATTTGCGAGAAAGTTTTTTTGACCAACAATGCACTGCGCACCTAAATCACCTAGAAAGTCGGTCGCTCAATCAACAGTCACACCACAGCATTAAATATTAATATTATCCTGAGCTCAAAGTAAAGTACTGCAGTACTGCAGTTACCTCCTTAGAAGGTCTGCTCAACTTTAAAGACCGATTAAGGTGAGTTTGGTTTTAAGATTGAAGGATTTTTTTACTCTTCCCACGTACGTAAAGCCACAATCCTCTTGTGGTATTTAAAATCAAAAACAATTTGAAGAAAGAWTTTTTGGTAATTCGTTTATTTTCAAACATGACCGAGACGATTCAATTCAAAAATGAAAAGTCTAGATTCCTAATTAGACGGATCTTGACGGTCTCCTTTACATGCTAAATATATTAAAACACCCGATATATTTAAACAGAAGCTAAATAGATCATTAATGCTCAAAAATWCAGTCGTTGTGATCAATTTAAATTAAAAACATTTTCAAAACATCATTTTTTTACTTTTCGTCATTGCTACGCAGAGCGTATCACAAATTTCATTTTTATTTTGTCTACACTATCAATGATAGGATAGCTTTCTAGCTCTATCTAGAGTATTGATTAAGATATTAAAACGTTTTTATATAGTGGCAGATCTTTTGCTTTAGCTGTACTTCCTTTTATGGAAGAAATCAATAACTCTTTTATCATTTAAAAAAAACGGCAAATATACTTTTTATTTTATTTTATTTTTTATTTTTATTTTTTCAATATTATTTTTATCATTATTATTATTCAAGAASAAGTCTTATTTTTTATTAATCGAATGCCGTAAGCTAAAGTGGTTTCCCTCACAAAATAACGTTTTAATTAGATGAAATATTATAAAATTTCGACTAAAGGACAAAGATTTCTTACCGAACAACTGTGCTTATATAATGAGAGATTAAAAACCCAATTTGAGTGTTGAAATCATTACATATCATTTTTGTTCATCGGTCTCCTTCAATCGGTCAATTCTAAGGCGTTTTAGGAAGAAATAATCTTTAATGAAAGTTATAGTCTATTATATGGCTATTGATGCCCAAAGGCAKTGGTTTCTGTTTATATTCTTGCACAATTACGCACAAAGACGGTTGAGAAATAAAATACCTAGCACAGTTAGCAAACTGACTATATGTAGACCGCCACGAATGACAATAAGAATGACAATAACTGGTCGTCTTTGAATCAATAATTACCAGATTCAGTCATTAAATGTCGATAATCTTGTCAGTTGTTAGGCGCCTTTCGGCAAACTRTGTAAATATAAGCTCTTACTACTTAAATAATTACGTCAAACCAAATTAATGGTACATTTATAATATGATAATCAATCCACGCGTACTTACCGACGGATATGCACTTATTTATCATCTTTGATTTTTATCTACCGAAGAGGCGTTGTAAAGTTTGTTCGACGTTAAGGGGTGAAGGTTGTGGAGGCTGTTCGGTTCCCAACWGACAAACAATTCGTATCTGTTTGTAACAAGTAAGTAGTTTAGATTCGGTTTTTTGAAAAATGAAAACTTACTTTTTTCTTATCCTTACTATAATTCCTTATGAAATACTGTGTGATCCTTATCACCATTTCATTCATACAACCAACCAATCTACACCACCAACAACAACCGATTCATACTACCATCCCATCTCCACACCACTACCAACCGATTCACACCACACTCCCATTTATACCACTACCAACCGATCAACACCCCCACCCCATCTACACAACTACAAACCAACACCAATCAACCTCCACCATTAACCAATTCAAATCACCACCACATCTACACTATCACCTGATCCATTCCACGTAGTCCTATCTACACATTTCATACAAACACCAATCAACCAGCACCATCARCTAATTCACACCACCAACCAATCCACACCACCAACGATCAACAACCCATCTACATAACTACAAACCAACACCAATCAACCAGGACCACCAACCAATCCAATCCACTCCATCCAATCCACACCACCACCCCATCTACACAACTAAAAAGCAAAAGCAATCAACCAGCACCACCAACCAATCCAATCCACACCACCAACCGATCCACACCACACTTCATTCACTCCTCCAACCCATCCACGCAACTAAACCATTGATCCACATCACCAACTCTTCCATAACACCTACTAATCCACCGGCTCACTTAACAAATCGCACCATACGGTAAATATAAAATTGGCTTAATTTATCAAGACACCTGAGAGAAAACCACGCTCTTCGCGGTTATAGTTTGTCATTGTAAATTCAACTTAAATTAGTCTTTTCTGTATCAATATTCACTCAAAATTGTTTAATTTGGGGGCTTTAATTAAATTTCTAATGTCAATCTTTTTGATTTCATTTTTAAGCTTACTTTAATTTTACCTGCTTTTCCTCCCTCCGCAACGATTAACCACTGAGTTAAATTTAAATTTAATCTGTTTTTTACCCGTGCCCTGACTTTGATCAGCATGCATGCGAGGTAAATTAGTTCATGTATGCGGTGCAAACGCGTGGATCACCAAATACGCTTATTGGTAGGCTTAAAATTATGCACCATTTACGACGTACGTTCTTACCTTTTGGCAATAACAAGAAAATCTTGGTAGAAATGCTATTCAGTCCACTATTCAACTACCGTTATAATCAAATCTACACCACTATATCTACTGATCCTTTTGAGGGTTAATGCGATTTTGCAAATTCTCAAACGTGTCCCATTGGAACCCAGTGTTCATATAGTGAATTTGTGCGTCCATTGTAAAATGCGAAAACGAGCCAAAAGAGCAGTTCTATTCAGACAACGCGTGAGACAAGAATTTATATGCATTTAATTTATAAATGATTTAGCTGTCATTGTACTAACAAACAAACTTTAAACACAGCCATTTTCCCCCAATTTCCCTTAGAATAAAATAATACGATGGAAAGCCTGTTATTTGACATGAGGTTCTCATTTTTGACAAGTCAGTGTTAGTAAAACCAGATAGGTAGTAAAAGACAAGTGCCGCAATATAGTGAATACAAAAGGCAAAATATTATACCGTTCATTTTGGCCTGATAATGATGATCTGTGCCGATTGGCATGTAAGTGAGATAAATCCAATCATCTTGTTGTATATAATTATAAATGCATACATCAAGATCATAGAATCTGAGTTTTAGTAGAGAACGGACTATCTATGTCTTCAAGTAAGTAATTTTCCTTCTTTTACGGTTTGCTAAAATCATTCAAGGTAGTCTAGCTTTAGTCACTTAAATGTGAACTATGAAAGGGATCATTGAACCATTTTAGCTKTAGCTTGACATCGATTCACCGGCTCAATTCTCTCAACTGTTCGAAGTCAAACATGGTGGAAGTGCAAGTGTTTCTATTTGTGACTCTAGAAGATTTCAAAATTCTTTTTAAAATGAAATATCGAATGCACCAGTTTCTCGCTATTGTTTGCCAGAACGCAATTATTTGATAAAGAGAAATATAAATTAAAAATCTTAGTAGAAATATTAATCTTTATTGCTGCAATAACAGCTTCTTATGTTATRCCCGCCAGTTGTCCCAACTCATCAGTCCTATTTATTTTCTTTGCATCTGCACGAATTCTTTCTTAGTTCGTAAAACTGGTTAGCAACACAGAAMGACCTTTTGGAAAGCAAATCGAGTGAGTGACGTTGAGGTAAACGAAGACCTAAACTGACCACCTGAGAGAGTGACACAAGCTGGAAGGGTCTTGCTTTGACCACATTAATGGATTTTACCAGCAATTTAGGTGAGTACAACTTGATTGATGAACCTTCTTTCAATAGTAGAAATCAGAACAGCAAATATACAGATTCATATCCTCGAAAACCGATGTAACAACCTTATTCACTAAAGGCTTAAAACCAGAATATTTAAGGAAACCATGGTCGTATTTTGCGATTTGCCAATGATATTTCAAACTGAGCTAAAAGTAATCAGTCTTTTTCTAATTAAATTAATTCAAATTTCTAATTCATCGGTTTTTGCAATGAAAGGTTTTTCTTTTGAGTAGTTTAGTAGTATTTTTAGTGTATTCAAACTTAGGAATGCCCATATTTTGGAAAATCAAGAATAACTGAATATTAATTAGTTGATTTTTTTTTCTTTTAAAAATTCAATCCACGAATTTCTAAATCTTTCATGCTGTGAACAAGTATGGCTTTCTTGTTGAAACGGAAACCACATTTCAAAAACAAAGACTGGGTGTTATGAAGAAAAAGGTATTTTTTTGTGAGAAGAAAGTGATTTTTTTAGGACCTATCGAAATGTGAAGTCGTCTTAAAAATACCCCAGAGACATAAAACTTAAAGTGAAGGATTCAAAGTAAGATTTTTACTTTTGTGAACAAAACCACAGTAATTTAAATCAATTAAACATATCCAATGCAGATTGAAATAAGTCGAAGAAATCAAAATCAACTCATTCAAATAAAAGTAAGGAATTTAAAATCGCAGTAGTTTAGAGAGATTCAAGACATTTGGCTCCCGTGCTAAAATTAGCCAGCGGTCTTTTGAAGCACAGCGAGCATGCCCAGTGGTATCAATTACATGTAAACAATCTTGTAAAATGGCGGAGTGATCTCATAGAAGTACGTCGATCAGGTAGCCTCCTTCGCAGCCGTTCTTAGGGTCGTCACGCAACCCTAAGAACGGCTGCGAAGGAGGCTATCGATCAGGTGGATTACAAAGCATTGAATATACTTTCTCGGTCTACTTAGACCTCTTTACTTTGGGCGTAATATTTTCCCATCTCAAACCATGTGTCATTCCCAAGAGTAATATTTCTTTGTTTAAAGGTTGCAAATAAAAATAAAAATG